GGATTGTTTAATCTCATGTTTCAGCAAGGTACTTTTTTGTGAAAACGCCTTTTAACAGCCTCTAGCAATACTTCAGTCTAGCACAAATACTTAACTTCAGTCTTTAAACAGGAGTGACTCAAACTGACAGATGGGGAAAAATTTAAACATTAAGACTTCAAGAAGCTATCACCTCTGTCCTGTTCTTGCACACACTGAAACCCTTTTAAGCCATTCTTTTGGGAGCACCACAGTACGTGTCTCATTCAGAAGTATCTGGTTTCCCGGACAATGAACTTTCTTGTGTTTGTTTCTGCCTTTGCCCTGTTAATTTTGCAGTAAGGTTTGATTACTTCGCATAGGTTAAACTATGCTACAAATGTCAATCTTGATTTGGTTATTCTAATTCATTCACTTTGATCAGGGAGTATATTTTACTTAAAGCATGCTAAATTAACATATAAGGAGATTAAATGCTAAGAAAGTGCTTTTTTATCCTGACTAACTTCAGTGAACAACTGGCAGGTGCAGAAGAAGTCTGCTGTAGAATAGCCCTGCTTGGTAATGCAATCTGCGGGATGAAACAGTTCCTCTGGCAGTGAAACAAGTCTGTTTGCTGAAGTTCACTGCAGCTTTTAGACAAGCCCAAATCACGCTGTGGGGATCTCTTGCAGATTACATCCAGTATTTCCCCAGAGATAGCTCCTTGCACCATGGCAGCACATGCTATGATCAGATCTCTGAGATGTCACCTTTGCAGGACTCTCCAGTTATGAGGAGCTCCCAGACCGCCTTCTCCTCTTGCTCCCTGAACAGCTGCTCTGCCATGTAAAGAAATCCTAGACATTTTATCACTTACTCCAATGTAGCTGCTGCCTTATCTGAGGCTTGATAACCAGAAAGCTAACCTCATAACCAGAAGTCTTGCTGATAAGTCCTTGCACAGCCAATGCCCATCCTCCCCCTTGCAGCCAAGCTACCAGCACCTCTGGAAAAAAGCACTATACGCAGTGATGGAACCCTCAAGGGGTTCAGGCTGGAAAGTGCTAGAGGGAAATAAAACCCAGGTAGAAGAGAAAAGTGAGCTGGTGGGTACCTGGGGAGAGCCAGGACCCCACAGCACTTCACCTACCTGTGCTGTGCGCACCTCCTTCCCTGCGCCGGCAGTGCAATGAGCTGGGCGGCTCCAGCCAGACCCCGAGAGCAGGGGGCAGGGACTGGGCCAGCACCGCCTCGCAGCCTCAGGTATCTGCATGGCAGCACCCAACCTTCCGCCAGACTGGAGGGGGAAGCCTCTGCTGGGGTGCTCAGAGGCAGGCAGAAGAGGAGGCTTCCCTTCCTGAGACAGAGAGCTCAATAAGCTGGGGGGCGGAGGGGAGGGGAACACAGGGTCAGGCTGGTGCTTTCCAGCATCCTGTTCCTCCCATCTCCTACCCCAGGCATGGGTAAGTGGCCCTGGGCTCCTCGGAGTGGAATACAAACTGACTGTACCTGGGATCACCCAGCGAAAGGGGGCTGCGGTTTCTGTGAATGAAGTTGTTCCAACTTTGTGCTGAAAGTTTCTGACTAAATCATGCCTTTGCACAGCATCTTTTTCCTGCGATGCAACACACCCAGTGCCACCTTTACAGAACAGATAGTTTTGTTAATCTCCAGGGTAAAATATGGCACATTGGTGAGACCACCAAAGTGCAAATTGTACCATCACCCACAGCAGGACAGCGACAAGGCGGTTTCCCCAAGCCTGGGAGTAATAAATTTGAACATTGAATTTGCAACAAATATTTGTTCCCTTGGATGATATGTTGAAGTATTTCAGGCAATTTACCTGACTACTGGATGCAAGAGTTTCTTTGCATGGGCTATATGACATTAATTGCACACAAATGTACTTTCAAGGCCTGGAAAGAAAAAGAAGCCCCTTCTTTGAGGCACAGTACACCCTTTCCTTTGCAAGGAACTCTGATTTTATAAGTACAGGTGTAGGTACAGTTCCTTAAGGCTACTCTGTACATTCAGCAGAACTAAGCAGGTTTCCAACCCTGCTGAATTTAAGCTTACTTTGTCCATAGCTTTTCCCTATTATTGCTCATGTTTTAATAAACGTTTTAATTCTCCATCTCGAGTGTAAGAATGCTGGTTTAAATAGAGGGAACAAAAATTCACAATTAAATCATCATTTAAAAAATACCAAACCATACCAGAAAACAAATTATTACTTACATAGCACCTTCTCACCCAAAACCTCTTAAAGCTATTACGTACCAAAGTCCTAAGTGGCAGGACTGAAAGATATTGGATGTGAAACACAGTCTCTCGTGTGATTTTCAACCTGTGGGATTAAAACACTGAAGTACCTTTGAAGAAGTCTGTCTTAATATGTATTTGCCACATGTTTAATTCATTACACATTCAGAAACATTTTCCAACTACTGATGAGTATAAATGAAGATAACAAAAGACAAAATGAACAGATTCATTCCAGAGCATACATAGCTCACTTTTCCGACAGACAAGTCTGATTGTGCCAAAACTCAAAAGTACATAATAATACTGAGAATAATACTGAGCCTGAATTACTGTTGAAAAAAGCCCCGCCAGTCAACTCCCTCACCCCATACTACAGAATACTTACTACTCCACAAGGATGACTGAGAACAAAAGGCTATTAAATTAGCAAGAGAAATCACTAGCCATACGGGAAAGGCAGTCCAAGGTAAACCTAAAAGGACATGCTGAACAATCCTACCTGGCATAAGATCACCAATCATTATAACCACCCCCCACCCCCCCCCCCTCAAAATGACAAATCAAACATAACACACAATGTTTTTAGGCTCCAAAAGCAATAGGTCAGTCAGTTCTTACTTTACTTACCAGCTGATACACAAGCTGAGGTTTCTCTGCTCTCACAATCTACATCCTGAGCAACACAAGATGTACACCTGCTGGTTCTGTACTACTTAATGATGCTGCTTGCTCTTTTAGAGGAAGGTTATATCCCAGCTGCCAGAAATCAGCTATTTCAAACAAACTTCTAAAAACACTTTAAAAAGAAATGGCATTTATTTATTGCCCCTGAAAATAATGTCCCAAGCTAGCAAAACCTTCACCATCAGGTCCCTGTAATCTCATCCTCAGACGCAGTTTGACCTGTAATATTTGCTAGAAACTGCCTGCAAGTTTTTTAAGCTGAAAACTTCTGGGAACAACTTGCTTAGAAAGTTTGTTATTGAAACCATCAGTTTAAAGTGCAATTTTGGCAAGTTCTACCATCACCTCTTCAGCTGGAAAATAGCATATGCAAAAGCAATGAGGATTTATGAGACTTTGAGAGCAACACAAAGGAAATCCATCCAAAATTATGCATATTTTGTGGACTACTACTCTTTTAAACAGTATTTAAATGTTGTTTAAAAAAACTCCACACGGTTATGCTGCTACTGAAAGCTTGATTCTCAACAGAAAGAGCAGCTGCTGCAGAGAAGTGTGGCCATGGTTACAAAAATGAACACAAAAGTTGATGCAAAAAGTAATCTCAAAAAAAGTTTATTAGCATGATTAAAAACACGGGAAGAACGACAGTAAGAAAGGAAGTAACTCAGCATGGAAGAATATCCATTTCAACAGTTTGTATTCACCAAAGCTTCAACTGAACGGGTAATTTTATTGCCAGATTTCACTTGACTTCTTTAACAACAGTTCACATTGTATCAGTTTCATCATTAGCAGAACTATTGCTTTAGTTTGGATCTGACCCCTGCTGCAGGTATGCATAAAAAAATATCCCTCATTACTGCTGGATTGCAGAATGCATTGTTGATTTAAGAGCTGGTAAAAAAAGACAATCTCAACTTAAGAGTCTGTTTAAAAAACAACTTTTCTCCTAATCACGCTACAAAGAAATACATTAGTATTTTGGCCTTTAAACCTCTCACATGGTATTTATTTAGCACGGCAATCCCGAATTCCCTCCCTTTAAGTAACCGTAAATCAAACTCCTCTTTCAGAGGCTGCTTCTTGGGTTAAGGTTCTGGAGATTTACTTCATACGCGCTTACACTGGCTTGAGGACGAAGACAGCATCATCTAGCACATAGTAGTCATTATACATATCACCTTCACATAGGTATGGCAGTCTGGTGAAAGCCTCTATGGCAAAACCAGCTTTACTGAAAACTTCTGGCAGGCTATTCACCTGTTCTTCCCAAGTGTGCCCTTTGATTTCCAGAACTTCTGAGGGTTTTTCCCACTTGCCACCTACTGAGAAAACAAAACAGGTTTAAATTATACAGAATTTATTGTGCGATTTTTTTTTTCTCACACAGATTGCAGTATTCCATTCCACTTCTAACTAGAGGTTGATAAGCCATTTGTGGAGCTGTTGCAAGATCAGTTCCAAGTTTTGCCTATTGTTCAGAAGCAGCTCCTTTTTAAGATTACCTTTGTTACATTTTTAACTAGCAATTCCAATACTGGCTGAAAAGAAGCTTCCGCTAGTAAGGCTGGTGTTCAGCAGACATGGTCAGGCTTGTTAATGAAGATGTTTTCCAGAATGTTACAAAATTCTGTCTTTATGTCCACTGCCTGGCCAAAGCTATCTTCACATAGTTACAGTAAACAGAGCCAGCTAGTTGAAAATGATGATTTGCTGTGAAGCTTCCATCTGTAGACCACCACATTATAATGGCTGGCTACAGAATCTTTGTTCCTCCAGTGGCCATCTACTAGCTGAGATGGTAAAGACTGCTTGGGGTGACATGAAATTACAAAGTCAAGCATTTGTAGCATGCTGGAAAACATGCTGTCATTTGTTATAACCAATAAAATAATCGGAAGGATTATAGGTACAGCTCTCAGAAGTCCAAAATTTAAAACTGTTCACTCATTTTCCAAGTAATGCCACACACAAATAACAAATGTTTTCTGGTTTGGTCTGTACCTTTAACTAGTTCACTAAATGCAACAGTAAACACCCTTCTAAACAGGAAGTTCTAAATCTTGTGATTCAGATGGTTCTGCAACTCCAAATGTTTCCTAAGTTCCTCTTCCTTCAAGCAGAATTTTATGTCCAGAGAGGTAGAAGAAATGGCATCTTTCAACAAATTAAAAAACGTGCTCATGCTGGCGTTACATTGGATTCTGCATGGAGCTGGTAAGAATTATTTTTTTTTTAACTTCTTGTATTTTTCCATGTAACAACAGTTAGTCAAGATTGAAAAATTTTATGACTTGCAAATAGCTATGAAATAAGAGCAGTGTGAGAATCAAGCTGGTTTCTGCTATCTTCATAAAAGTGCCAAATTAAACTGTTAGCTTTTACTTCCAAAAACCTGAAATGCACCTGTAACCTAAGATTTCTGGGGCAAATCCTGCTGTGCTTCCCTGCAAAGAACTTTGTAGCAGCAGTATGTCAGCATTACAGTGCAGCTGTGCTTGTTCCAGAGGAGCTCAGCAGACACTATCTACATGAACTGCAGCCATGGAGTTCTGCCCTGCAAAGCCACTGAGACCCCCCAGAGTAACATGGAAAAAGAGCAGGGGATCAACGACAGAAGCACAAGCTACTGCCTTTCACCACACAGGGCGCAAGTACACCAACAACTCATATTACTACAATTTCAGATTGCCGTAGCTGCTATCGAACGGTTCTGATGGTGATCTGACACAGAAGTAGTTTCAGTTTATTCCTGTAGAAGTCACAGACACTGAATCTGCTTGGATCTGGTCCATAAAACACATAGTGAGAAAAATTATAAAGGGACAATGCTGACAAGGTACCATGGACAGGATTATAAATTGTGTATCAGTAGTAGATTAAGAGACTTCAGTTTATTTTTATTCTTAGCTTGTTATTTTCTAGGAAGTAGAAAAGGATGTTGTTAAGCAACTACCTTCATTTTCACTGCAGTAATCTCAATTCCATGGTTTGAGTAAAATTAAATAGACTAAACCAATATTTAAATTATGGGTTTCAAGGACTTAGAAAAAAATCTCCCAGACCAGTCATATTAAACTTCACATTTCAATTCCTTTATTAGAATTCTGTTCTCTGATTAACCTTCCTGTTTTCTCTGCACACATTCTTAAATGTCAGAACTAACAAGCAATATTATTATCCTTAGAAACCAAGAGTCAATATGTGTGACAAAGTGAAAGAATGTCTAGGAACTATTATAAATTCTAATCAATGTTATGAAAATGCTAAATTATAAATGACTGCATCTATGACATTTCCACTGCCTGCCACTGGCTCTCTCACTTGACTTGGAACAGAACAGTAGAGAGAGAAAACCTTGCAGAACTACTGCACTGAGCATCCCCCCACCACCCATCAACCCCGAAAACACAACTAAATCTGAGGTGGGGAACTACACAAGGAATTCTTTTGGTCTTCTCTAGGGCCAAAGGAGACACTCACGGTATTTCAGAAAGATGATTCTTCTCTACACTTTGTCAGAAAAAGAGAAAGCTAAGCACATTACCACCAAGGTAAAGCTGTTAAATGAACATATGGGCAAGCTGCAGGGATTACCTAAAATAAAAGTTTGCTGGAAACAACCTTAAAACTTTCAAGTTCGAAACACAGTTGGTTTTCCTTCTTTCCTCCCCCTTTTCTCGAATGAGCCAGAAGTCTCTTACCTTCTTTTTAGACTGTGCCTTGCTTTTTAACTGTCCCTCACATTAACATTGTTTATTCTCAACAGGTGCTACAGATACCTGCCAAGTCACTGTAACACAACCCAAATTTCAGGAAGCTGACTACTCCATGCACACTGTGTTCCTAAGATGCACTTTCTCAGCTTCTGGATGTTCCTCGTTTCCACCTCAAGTTCTGTGGTTTCGCTTTTTAACTAAAAAGCATGAGGACTTGTGTACTCCAGGATGCATAGATCAGCAGAAGTACAAAGTGCATTTATCTGAAAATAACATTTTACTCCAAATCAGTAACCTGACTGTAGATGACAATGCTGTCTATATCTGTGGAGTAGCATTTTCAGATTCAAGTTCACCCCATTCTAAACAAACAGGAGATGGTACAGAACTAACGAAAGCAGGTCAGTTGATCATTCCTTCTTAATGAAGCATTTTAAAAGAAATACATTAGCTTTCCTAAATATTCTCTTTATTTACATTTTCAAGAATGGCATTTAAGATGGAAATACCAACAAAACTGTTAGTAGTATAACTGTATTAAAATATTAACAGCAAAACCATGGAGTGATTCTAAGAATTTTAACCTTGTTTGCTAATTAGCCTGTTGTCATACAATGCAAATAACTCCTGAATTCTATAAAAAAAAAAAAAAAAAAGAAGTTTTGCACTTGTATTACCCAACAATACTCTACATCCTCCTAGGTAAAGATTTTAATGGCTATCAGAAAGGAACTACAAGAGAAAAATGAGAAGTAAAGAAACTGACACTTAGTGGAAATACATGCAACAGAGTACAGGGTCTCAGAACTGGGAATTCACTGTGCCAGCTTAAGAAAAAAGGCTTAGTTCTGAGCTTTTGCATCATCTGCCTTCTAGTTAAGAAAGTGATGAGACCTTCTTTCCTTTAATCGCATTTCTGAACAAATACCTGTAAGCTTTATTCAGATACCCAGAAAACTGGGTTCTATTCTCTGTCTACCCCACAGGAAGAGTTCATAATAAAAATAGCAAGCCTCCACTGTCCTTGCAAACATTCAGGGAAACAAAAGTGATCACACCAAGTATTTTAGACTGAAAATGAACTTGACAAATATTGAGTGGTGTAAGGAGCGTTTAATTCCTTAGAGGAAGGGTGATGAAATGCAGAATATGAAGAAAATTATGTGTATCAGAAGACCTGTCCTTTATTCTAACACTCACTTTTAATAAAGGAGCAGAGAATCAGCACAGCAACAGAAGAGTTGGCTTCATCTTCATGATCATCACCTCATCCTTACTGTTTCTATACAGTGCTACCGTATTCACATTCTTTTTAGTCTACAAGGTAGGAAAGTGATTTTTCTAATTTTGTTCATTTTGTAAAACAAAGCAGTTTCATCATCTCCATTAGGAGAATAAGAAGACATTCCTAGATTCCATAACTTTCATGATTAAGTTTCAAAGAGGCAGTTGGTTGAAGTTCATATGCTTCACAGCTCTGCAAACTCTTGTGTGGCACATACTTGTACTCTCACTAGCAACCACAGTTTTCTTTTTCAGTAAAGTGTCTAAAAGAAAAGGTATCCTGAAGTTAAGATTATCCTCAGAGTATTAATCAGGAAGTTGGAGATTACCTGTTGAGGCTCACTCAAAAAGCAAAACTAGAAACTACCACTGTAAGTCATCAACTCTCTTGATTAGTTTCCAGTAAAATGATTTAATGTCAAAGTATTCATGACTGCAGACTGACTTCATTTGTGTAATGAAATTCTATTCACACATCATACATCATATTCATACATCATACGTGGAAGAGAGACCGTGGTAAAATTTAAAACACAGAGACTTTAAAGAAGTTTTACGCTTATAGGAAACAAATGCATCAGAATGCACCTGGTTAAAAGTTACACAGTTATTGCTGTAGGGATTGTTTGGTGGGGTTTTTTTTAAGCTAGAGGAAAATTTGTGTTTAGTTAAAATAAACACCCAAAACTGCAACTGGAATCTTTACATAATAATGAGACTTTGACATGAGAATAAGGACTTCACAGTTCTAAGTGGTATGATATGCTAAAATGGTTCTTTGCTGCAGTGATCTTTGTCTAAGCATAAAGGCAGGGCAGTCTCTTTTAATTTTGTGGTTTTTTTAATTAGGTGAAGTAGTATAGTGGGAAACATTAACTAAGCCTTTTTCAGGGGCAAACTTTCTGTGGTGCTACTGGTTTACTTTTGAGAACTAGGCAGTGTTTCAGGCAGGTTCCACTGTACTCAAAGCAAAATTACTTGCAGTGTCTACTACCAGAAGCTGAAAAAGGCCTTACATGGCTGAAAAGGTCTCTGATTTTCCAATGGTACAAGCTGATCTAAGGACTTTTCTCTACAAACCATCTGACACTGTAAAAGAGCAACACCTTTAATTATTCTGCTACCTTAGCAGTTGGCATCTCACATTTTAATTGTTCTTTATTATCTCTCTCTAGTTAAAACCAAAGCTGCTAAAGAAAAGCAGGAACGAAGACCAAAGAACAGAGAACTGTGTATGTTATCAGTTCATTTGCTTTGCCTGTGATTCAGAGCTTTTTTATTCCCCCCTGCCTTTTTTAAGTATATTGGGCATCCATTTTGTGATTATTTGGTTAAAGAAACATTCAGAGCTGTTAAGGCTTTACTTCAGATATGTAAAAAACCAGTAAACAAATTTACATTTCACTAATTTTAACTAATTTATGTTTAACAAGTTGGATGCGGGATGTCAATTTATGTAAAGGCCACCTCTAGTACACAGCTTCCTTTAGCTTTTAAGTAAATTTTGTTTAACCTTCTGAAAGTAACACGTTTTGCTATTAATTGTTTAAATGCTGCATTCAGGTAATCCCTAAGAATTTAAAACAAATCTATTTAGAACCTCCATCACCATGTATCCTTGAATAAAAAGTAGAAGCCTTACATTTAAATATCCATTAAAGAAGTCATGTATGTCAAGAGATGAACTATTAATGTAATAACCCTTCTGTCAAACTGTAAGTTCTTAAAGTGTTATTTAGTAAGATTCCCAAAGACACATACAGGGGAAAAATCAGAGTTATAAAAGGTACAAAAAGATGCTTCCTCAACCATATATAGCACTGACCTCAAGTGTTTGAATAACTTGCAGAAAATCACCAGTGGACGAAAAATTTTTCAAGCAATTGCCCAGGAACTTCAAAACCAGAGATATATGGAGCATTGCCGACAGCCTGTGAGTATCTATATACCAATACTGACATTTATGGAGAAATAGAGGAACCGGTACTTTTTAAGAGTGTATTATTTCCATATCCTCTGGAAATGGACTTTTAAAAGTTGATAAAGGTATTTAAAAAAAAAGGTATTCTGCACTACAAAGACATTATAGAGCATTCTAAATGATGATACATATATATTTTTGTAGATATATATGATAGCATATACTTTATAGAACATATGTGTGTACATTTAAAAATGAAGCTTCCATAAATCTGTATTTGTCAAGAAGAGGTCTCAACAAGTGCCTCTGGACTTTTGGTGAAATGCATAGAGCTATTAAGAGCCCATTTTTGAAAAATGGTAGCTAGACAGGAACATTACAGAGCTGTTATAAAAGCTCTGCAACATTCTTCCCCATACTTCTCCTTCCTTCGACATCCACAGCCTAAACTAAATATTCAACATCACTGGGTAAAGCCCCACAACTTCTTTCAGCATTCCAAATTCATGCCAATGAATTATATAATACCAATGTCTTATATAATGACCGTAACTGTGAACATGCCATGTTAAGTTACAAAATTGTGCACATGCCATGTTGAATTACAAAAAACAAAACCCAACTTTAGAAGTCACATGCATTTGCAAACAAATGGCTTCAAAATCATGCTTTGAAAATGTTGCTTCTCTTGAGAAACTGTATAAATTCTTTCCTATTCTGACCATAGGCTGCACTACTTCAAGAAGAAACCAAAAGAAACATATAAGAAATGCATGCTTCTCCTCCATGTGTTTTTACTTCATTATTTCCACCCGGCCCCAATTGTTTCTTTCTGTTATTACCCCTTTAAAGACTTCAAGTCCCTGCTGACATGACCTGGCCCTTGGTTTGAGCATCAGATATGAACACGGTGAAAATAAGGGATATATTTTACTGCCTCTGTGCTCCCTGTAGATTAGGAAAAGCCAAGAGGAAGAGAAATATGCTTTGAATCCCACAGATGTCACATGACCAAAACCTATAGGATAGAGGGGAGGAGTTTACTGAAACAATGAAGGAATGGAGTTTGCTTGAAAAAGGAAATTTTGCATTATTTAAAAAGTAAAAAGTTCACAGCAATAACAAAATACTTCTCCATTTTTCCCTTAGGAAGATTTGGAAGATGACACTGTTTATCAGAACAGATGAGCCTGTGCTGCTGTTCAGATTTCTTCAGTATTTCTCACACAGATGAAGAAGGGATACATGAAGAAGTTAATCTTCTTCACATACTTTCTTTGCTTTAAAAACAGAGGAGACAGGAGACCTTGCAGGGCAGTGTTCTTGACAAGTATTTTCTAAATAGGTCACCAAACCCAAGTGCATTGTGCATTTATGTTACATTTTACTTCCATTTTCCATTCTTTAAGAACTATTGGAAAAGACTCCATAAGATAACTGCTGACCTTCCTAAGTTTCCTTTTTCAGTTTAGATTTAATTCTGTGCATTTTTTTCTTTTTACATAAGTTTACATTTATTCCTTTTATGTTAACTAAGCATTTGTGAAAGATGTATAATTGACAGCAACAGCAAATAAACTTGTTTCACATGTGAAATTTTGATTTTAGCCATGTTAATGTGATAGTTATCAACATAAGAGATATACAAAACTACAAAACAAGTTACTGAGTCTTAACAATAGCTTAAACAGAGCAAAACCTCTGTATTCTGTAGGTAGGCAATCAGAAATAACAGACAATATAAATGCTTGCAGTATCATAGTAGAGCTCAATTGGAACAGGAGCTTCTTCCCAAGCTATTTAGGAAAGTAGCAGTCATAGTGAGAAGGCTGCTCCTGCAATATTAAAAATCACTTGCTAGACAGACAACCCTCATCTTTGACTCCTACCAGGCAAAGTCAGGACTACCTGGAACACAAAGTTTTGCCTTTACATGACTGTTCAACATGGAGGCAAGCATGAACACAGAAGTATACTAGCTAGCCAAGGTAGTACATTGAGCATATTTTTTTTAAAGCTACCTCTTCTTTTAGCAGTTACTATGTAGCCAATCCACAAATTCAGCACTTTAACAAGCGATATCTTAGTATCAGGCATTCTCCCTACCTAAGAACAGTTGCATCAAAAGATGCAAGATAAAAATCACCATTTAAATAAAGCAAAGCTTTGTTTAACAGATGAAATGGCATTTCTCACTTCAGTGAGATGAGCACTGACAACTGAGACAAAGCAAGGGTCCACCTAGCACAGTACTGTTTACAGTTCAATTTAGTAGTGAGGAAGGTGGAAAATCCACCTTTGTCTTCTTATCCCTGTCAATCAATCACAAGGAATTAATGTTTTCAACAGGAAAACTGCACAATCACAGACAGCTAGTGTTTACCACTTCTGAAGTATGGAGCCTCTGACATTTTTATTTTACGGAAATTTCAACCAGTCTAGTCACATACTGTCTAATAATGCCTTTACAGAAATATGGTGTCTGTATTAGGAAATAAAATGGATTTTTTATGACCCTATGGGACACCTATTAAAAATATAAAGTTATATTTAATAAATGTTCTTATGTGACTAGCCTAACACCTTACGATTCATCTGGCTTACTTACCAAATCTAGGTATGTGCAAAATTGCGTTATTTTTTGTTATGTTGAAAATAAAACTCCATAAAACCACAGAATTTATGATTAAGCTACTTTGTCTGGACTCTAGGTGTCACTGTAACTCCAGAAACAGCACAGAAATGTATTTCAATCTCCTCCTCCACCTTGCTTTGTTCTCTTAAACCAAGTTCTATGTTATTCACACAGTTTCCACAACCAGCCTCCCATTACATTACATGCAATAACCCAAGTATCTTGTTTTGAACAAAATTGTGTCTCCATTTTTAGGAACTGACCTATACACTGAGCAAACACCTTACCTGCTTCATCTCTTCTCTATTTGTTTCCCATCTAAAATTCAGAAGTTTCTCCAGGCAAGTCCAAACTGGTTTTTAATTAGCTCCTACAAGAACTTACTTGAGCCATTAAATGTTCTCCTTTTTGAATGTTGCAATTATATATGTATGTTAAATATAAGCCATATGTACACATCTAGTACTTTTTAAAATGCATCATCTCTTAGAACAGCTAAATCACAGAATCATAGAATAGTTAGGGTTGGAAAGGACCTTGAGATCATCTAGTTCCAACCCCCCCTGCCAAGGGCAGGGACACCTCACACTAAACCATGCCACCCAAGGCTTCAAAATAATGAAATTCTAAAATCAATTTATTATCATGAAGACGAGCAGTTCATTATTTCTCTAGGCTACAGTTAAACAGATAAGTAGGAAAGCTTCAGTGAAATGAGAGTAGCTTTTGTGTGTGTTAATTTGCATTGTCTAAAGTTTATATGGGGTCTATATCCGTAATAGTGATAAACAATAACCAAGTAAGTTTTTAAGTTTCAGAACATATTAAGGAAACAAAGCTGCATTAAGGAAATTGACTAATCTCCTATAAGCCCCCACCACTTTTTTATGACTTAGGTTTACAAGACTTCTTACAACAGATTTCAAATTTCAACAAGTAAGAATGACTGAGTTCAAGAATCACAGAGTAGATTTCTAGTCCCTTGGGATTTATAAATATAAATGGTTGTTCTCCTCCGAGTACCTTGTGGGAGATTAATGATGAGCAATATAAGTGGACTTCAGAGTAGTTTCTTCCTTAATTCATCTACCGCCTGTTGAACCAGAAGTTGCATGTGGTCTGTCACATGGTTACCGAACAACATGCAGAAAAGTAGATGTCAAGTGCAATAGCGATTGCAAAACACAATGGCACATAGTTTTGAAGGTACACAAACTAAAAGCCACTCAAATTATTTCCCAATTTCTGCTTCCAGTATGCCAACAAAAACTAGAAAGACACTGCTGTTATTATTTGGAACTTTAAGGAATTTTTAGAAGAGGAAGCTGTATTGTTTTGCATTATAGGAACAATAATTTGTAATGAAATACACTTGAAATACTGTACAGACACATAAGTCAACCTCTCCCATCTCATTTAAGACATGCTACTTCTCACAATAGTTACAAAATTTTTTGCTCAAACACTGCATTTTAAGCAATTCTTCACCTGAGGGAATTTTTTTATACTTAACATTAATTTTTGTTACATTTCATCACATCGATTGCCAGAATGTTCAGGCTGTCAGCTGTGTATTTGCTGGAGCTACATGCTTATCCACAGACAAGTCTTAATACTTGAGGACAGCCAGTATCCCAATGATGACTGCTGAACACCAGCCTCCTCGAATTCAAACCAACTTTAGGGTGCCTCAACATGAATCCACAATCATAGGCATGTAAAAAAAGTTTCCACTCTCTTTTGAAGTTTAATCATAGGGACAGATTAACCCCAAAATCTGTCATGTATTTCTTCAAAATGCAACTAGGGGAAATAATGGGGGGGTTAGCACTGAATTTTAAATTTCAGTTACCGATACAACATAAACAGTGCCTCATACTTTGTATCAGTAGGGGTCTGTATTCTACTTTGAGAGCTCATGCTGGAAAGTAAACATTATCTCCCTGTGCATTTTTAGCTGCAGCTCATCTGAAACAGTTTGACCTGAACTGCTCCATCTAACATTATGGGCAGTTCTGATGGCTTTGCTCAAGTGGTCACTAGAGGCAACTGGGGTGACCTATATGACAGCAGCAGAAGGCTCTAATCAGAGATCTGTTTTCCCATGTTGCTCCAACACAGCTCAAAGGTGGCAACCTGCAGAACAGGATATGTGACTTCAATATTTGAGCTTTTTGTTGGTGTCAACAATGTATGTTTGGGAATTAAGAAAATAGCTTACATCATATGCCATATTTACCTATGATTTACTTCTGAATGTGCACTGTACAAGTTATTTGTAAAAATCAAATACAAACATGCCAATTAAGCATTTAATTTGGGATACAGTAACCTACAAATGTTTTCTTTACCTGCCTAAATAGCTATTAATCTGTGTACTTACCATTTTCCACATATGGGTGAAATGGCAGAACTAATGCTAGAATGACTCTGCCTCTAGTTGGCTCCAGTACACTTCTAATATCTTTTAATACAGTCAGTGGTTGATCACAGCGATCCAGCAAATTCAAACAGCTGATGACATCATACTGAAATCCTGTGTTTTGCCACTCATTTATACCAAGCACTCTACAAGGAGAAAGAGATACAGTCTGTTAAACACAAGCTGAGTTCAAAGAGAGACACTGAAGATAAAAATTCCCTATCAATGTGTTTACAGTGAAGGTAAGGTCAGCCACCTAGGCAATAAGAAGAGGCAGATGCGATGCTTCTGGTCTTTCAGAAAAGAAAACTAAATCAACAATCAAAAGTGGGCATGGCTATATATACAGCCACAAGAACCTGTGTATTGCCTTACAACCACCAGGCAATAAAGGAAACGAAACCCAAAACCCCAGCTATTAGAATTAAAAAAAAAAAAAAAAAAAATAAGTGTTGTCCTAGAATAAAACTGACAATAACTTCTCAAGAAACAACAAAAGTTGAAATATGATGAATGGCGTACCGCAGTCTATCTACTCTGCTTTGCCAGTGTGAAAACCCAGACTGGAAATTAGTCATTATGTTTCCTCTCAAAAGACAGGTTGAAGAAAAGAAATCCAGTTCCTTCATTCTTTGGGTTGAAGTCTAGGGATAAAGTGTCTGAAATACTAGCCATTACTCAACAAAACTGGATCTGCTGCCTGCAAGAACCTGCAGGAGCTCTGATGAATGCATGAACAAAGTTCTGAAACTGCCAAGGGTTTAGTTACTAAATGTTATTCCATCTAACAGCAGGAGCTAAGCAGAGCAAGAATAAAAGGATCTTTACACAGACGTCTACATTTTAGGACTAGATAGACAGAGATTACTGAGGTATCCCTATTATCAAAACTAGTTTGCTTTCTCTGCAGTACCTGTCTTCCTCTTCCAATTCTGGAGTGTTCACTTTGGCTGTCTGCCTGATTTTGTTGTTCCCGACTCCCTCAATTAAAGCAATTTATGCAAGCTATGAAGAAAGAGAATTCAAAATGGTTGCTGCCTATTTTCTCTTAGAATCACAGTCTTAAGTAATTGCAGGGAACTTCTGTGTAACAAAAGCACTGGTAAGAAGGAACATCAGATGTGTTTGTTTTCCTGCTTTTGTACAGGTTAAACTTTTCTACAAGGATTAAGCAACACAGGAATTGACTGAAAATAGTGAACATTCATTAAATACTACAAATAGATTACTCTGCTGTAATGTCCAATAAAAAGGATGTAGGAAGCATTCAGTACAATACCTGTATTTCTTCTTCTGAAGCTGCCATATCATTGTTTCAGACAATTCAGTGGCATAGATTTCTTCAAAATGAGGACTCATGACTTTAGTGACTTCTCCATCTCCAGCCCCTAAATCAAGAAGCCTGTGGGATTTCCATTCTGGATTTATTTTAAGCAGTCTTTGAAATTGTTCTGGAGAAAACACAAACATTGAGCCCCTTCCCAGCAGCCTGAAATGTAAAAACAAGAAATGACCCATTTTGTAGGAACTTTAACAGGAAGAACGATGAAGTAATTTAGAATGTGCTTTGGCAGCAACCAGCTACATACATAGTAGTAGGCAAGGTCACTGCTCAGATAATTCTCAATCCAGTTCAACTTGCCTTGCACTTGTCAGAGATCAAACACACAGCCACATGCAGTTACAGTAGTTAACACTTCAGAAGGAATTTGATTAGGTGAGGAAGAGTTCACGGGGTGCAGCTCAAAAAAATGATCACATTGGAAAAAAGGAAAAAAAAGGAGGGGAGAAAGTGGAAAAGAAAGGCTGGAGCTTATTTGTCATGTTTGTGAATTTGGATCTCTGCCACCTACCTTAGGAAAATAATAATAATAATAATAAATGAAATAACAGAGGAAATAAAATGGCTGCAACACAGAAGTGGGCACAATGAATGAGGAATAGGATATGGAACTAGGAGAGTAGCCAGGAAACAGATTTAAAGAAGGGATGGCGCTAACGCTGCTGGGGTACCAAAAGGGATTGTTTTTTTTTTTTTAATTGTATGTTACAATGGCTTTTGCTGCTGTCTGCAGATCCTG